AACTCCTCTCCCTCTTAGCCCTGATCCCTCTATTTCCCCTGCCTGTCAGCCTTCCCTTCTGCCTGCCCAGTTCCTTCTCAGCCCGACTGCGTCCCTCACACCCCAGCCCTCTAAATTTCCAGAGCTGTGGGGTGTGTACTATAGCGCTAATCTTTACTTCCCATGGAGTTGGTAAGTGTAGGAGGGTCCTTTGTTAATTATTTTGGCATCTGCGCTGTGCACTAAGCAGACATTCTGTAATGAGAATGACAGCTACTGTTGAGCACACGCCAGACACTCTGTTAGGCATTTTGTAGAATTCTTTCATTTAATTCTTAAAACAGATTCATCCCCATTTACAAAGGGATGTATCAGGATGCTTTTCGGCTCTTACCAAAAAGAAGTCATGAGGGATGTGTGGTGATATCAGCAAGGATCCAGGTAGTTGCCACCTCTCCTGGTTGCCTTCCTCAGTGTGTTGGTTCATCCTCTTAGGCTGCTTCCCTTTACAGCACCAAGGTGACTGCCATAGTCCCAGGTGCCATATGTCGGAGAGGTGATGTACAGTCCTTGTGCTCCCTTTAAGAGGCCTCTCAGCAGATTTCCTACAAAGTTCTGCTTGGCCAACATTAGGTCTTAGGCTTATTCCCAAGCCAGTCAGTAGTAAAGGGCCTGGACTTAATGAGACTGGCTTAAACTAGTCAAGATTCAGCCCCTGATGCTCATGAGGGATCCAGGCTCCTCGAATGCCCCGGGCCACCTAGTCCATGAAGGAATTAGGGGATGCGAATGAGGTGTGGTGCGTTAAATAACTTGCTTTAGGTTGCAGACCTGGTGAGAACCAGGATTCGAACTACATTAGGCTGACTCCGAGGCCATCTGTTGGTTGAATGAAGTATACCACGGAGGTAAAAAGACTTGCTCAGGATTTGGTGTGCTGAGTTTGAGGGATTGTGGGGCTACCTTGTCTTATAAATTGTTGAGTGTGTCCTCTCCCTAGACCTGTCTCCATTATTGGATTGGTTTTCCTCAGTCTGTCTTTCTCCCCATGCCTGCTTTACCCCTATCTTCCAGTGCCCAGCTGCTGCCTGCCTTCAAGAATAGACTTGATGCCCTTAGTTGGGTAGACTGTCAAGGCCCCAAGGGGTCATATTGAGGTTTTTTTTAGAGCAGATAGGGAAGCTGAAAAGCTCTGAGTCAGGATTTAGAAGGAGCTGCCAGGGAAAATGCCAAGGGGCTGGCTTGCTAGAGGGTCAGCTGTAGTGGGGAGTTTATGGTGCATCATTGGGGTTGTCAGCAGGCACATGGGCCAGGGCTTTGGAATAGGCCCATGCCGGGCAGCAGCCAGCTGTCCTCCTCCAGAGACAGTACAGTTATTCAGGAGGCTGTTTGGCTTGTAGATGCTGCAGGACTGCCCCAAGGCCCGGCGCGAGGTGGAGCTACACTGGCGGGCCTCCCAGTGCCCGCACATCGTGCGGATTGTGGACGTCTATGAGAATCTGTATGCGGGGAGGAAGTGCCTGCTGATCGTCATGGAGTGGTAAGCAGCCTTCCCTCCCTGCCCAGGCCCCCCACTTTCTGAGAACTGCCCAGATGGGCCCTGAAGCTTAAAGTGTGAATACTTGATTTTTCGGGTGGGAATGATGGAGAGTGGTAGTGGGGTGTTGTGTTCCCCAGATCTAACCATGGCTTTGTTTCAGTTTGGATGGTGGAGAACTCTTTAGCCGAATCCAGGACAGAGGAGACCAAGCATTCACAGAAAGAGGTATAAAGGGTCTGTTGTGGGACAGGCTGTGGGCAGGCAGGGCAGGGGTTTCTGAGGGGGCCCACGGCAGCGCCTGCCCTCTGTGATCACGCTGAGGCCTGCTACCTCTCCAGCTTGGCCCCAGGGCTGTCATCCTCAGCTGAGCTAGGTGGCTTCTTGTGTCTTGGTTTCTGGGGTGGGCGGTGGATGTAGGCTGCATTGGGGTGCAGGGGGTAGAGGAACCGGTGTATTGAATTTTCAAACCTAATGACACACTTGCGACTTTCTTTCCTTCTCTGCAGAAGCTTCAGAGATCATGAAGAGCATTGGCGAGGCCATTCAGTATTTGCACTCGATCAACATTGCTCATCGGGATGTCAAGGTACCAGCTGTTCATCATGCCTAACCACCCTCCCCTCCGGTGCTGCAGAGGTCCCTGGGATCATAGTGACCCTCGGAAGGGTTGCCGGAGTTGTCCTGCTGCCTTGCTGCCTGGTTCCTGATGGCATTGTGGGGCAGGGAGCCATTCTCTGCTCCACAGGGCCTGCCCTCCCTGGGAAACCCTCAGACTCAGTTGGGAACCTGTGGCCTTGCTCGGCCTGTGGTCCTCAGTTGGTGTTGCACAGCAACACCTGTGGTTTCTCTGCCCTGTAGTATTTAAATCTCTTATCTCCAAGCTCTGGGAAGGCAGGGAGCTGGTCATGGATAGCTGATGGTGTGCAGATCATAGGGGCTAGATGAAAGGCTATTTACAGAGGAAGGAAGGAAAGAAGTCACCTTTACCCTTTTGATCACCGATAGCCCCTCACAGCAGGGTTGTGATTTTTCTGTCCCTCTCTGTAGCCCGAGAATCTCTTATACACTTCCAAAAGGCCCAACGCCATCCTGAAACTCACAGATTTTGGCTTTGCCAAGGAAACCACCAGCCACAACTCTCTGACCACTCCTTGCTATACGCCTTACTATGTGGGTAAGTTCAGAGGAGGCCGGGACTCACCCTTCCCGGGAGCTTCTCTCAGACCCTCCTCTTCCCGTCTAGAAGCCACAGGTTCTGGGAGAGGCATGTCCTCTGGCCTGTTTGGCGCTGGTTCTGGGGTGACCTGAACTGAAGTAGGGCTCGTCAGCGCTGGGCTGGGATTGAGGAGTCATGGGGCACTATCTGCGTGAGCTCGTAGGCAGGGTTTTGCACGCGTGTGCATTTTCCCCAAGAGGAGCTGTCGTCTCCTTCAGGTGCCCAGTGGGGTCTGGCAGCCCTGCTGACTGGCAGGGGATGAACAAATGTGCCTGTCAGATTAAATGGGCATTGTGGGTCTGAAAGGCTCTTGCCAAGAATTGTATTATCTTAAGATTCTAGCCCTAGGTTCCACTTGGAGGAGGGTCTTTGCTCTCCTCCATCTCACCCCGGGGCTGGGTTGTGGCTGTTCCCCTCCCACCCCCAGCTGTGGTCCCATCATGGTGGCTGAAGGGCTGGGACGGGAGCACCATCCACAGAGAAACTGGGTAGGTCCCCGTGTCCGAGGCCAGGCTCACCCACACTGGCCTTTGGTTTGCAGCTCCGGAAGTGCTGGGCCCAGAGAAGTACGACAAGTCCTGTGATATGTGGTCCTTGGGTGTCATCATGTATATCCTGTAAGTGTGCCGGGAGTGATGGGGGGAAGGGGCCGGGCCCAGCCGGCTGGGGACGCAGTGCGGGGAGGCCTGCACCTCTGGGGGCCGAGCGAAAGAGGCAGAGGTTAGCATTCCCTTCTGGGGAATCTCCTGCCCACGCCCTTCTCTCAGTGCTTAGTGGATTCTGCTGGCTAAGTGATAGAGGTAAACGAGGCGGTGGGCAGGGACATGTGTGGTTTAGGTGCCTGGTATGTGGAATCCTGGGCCCTGTGCTTGACTTTCTGTATTATGCCTGAATCAGCGAGCCCTAGTTTCTCTGTGACCTTTACGAGAAGTCTGCTCATTATCTTATTCCTGGTGCAGGGCCCCTAAATAATACCTGCTCTGTCCCTCTCTCCCTGCTTCCGCTTGGCTCAGGCTGTGTGGTTATCCGCCCTTCTATTCCAACCATGGCCTTGCCATCTCTCCGGGCATGAAGACTCGCATCCGAATGGGCCAGTATGAATTTCCCAACCCAGAGTGGTCAGAAGTATCGGAGGAAGGTAAAGGGCCCACGTGTGCACGTGTGTGTGTGTGTGTGTGCGTGTGTACACACATGTATGGGTGGGCGTCTGTCTCACGTGGGTGGTGTAGCTGTGGGTCTGCCCACGCTGTCTGGGTGAAGGGCCTGGCACAGGGCCGTGTAGGGCCTGTTAGTGGGGACAGCGAGATCGTCCTCAGGGCGGGTCCTTGGGCAGTCTGCCCCCATTCGATGCCCCCGGTTTCCTCCTGAAAACTGTGGGAGGAACAGGAGAGGGAGAGTGGCCCCTGAGTGATCTGTTCCTTTGTCACCCACAGTGAAGATGCTCATCCGGAACCTGCTGAAAACAGAGCCCACTCAGAGAATGACCATCACAGAGTTTATGAACCACCCCTGGATCATGGTAAGCCCAGCAGGCAGAGAGACCTGGGTCCTGGGGACTGTCCCTGGGGGCGGGGGCTTAGCCGGGACTCTGCCCTGCCCAGGCTTTCACTTGGACCCTTTTCTCTCCCCTAGCAATCAACAAAGGTCCCTCAGACCCCACTGCACACCAGTCGCGTCCTGAAGGAGGACAAGGAGCGGTGGGAGGATGTCAAGGTGAGGGAACCACAGGCCAGGAGGGGCTTGGGGGGCAGCTCAGGGGTGCCTGGCGGTGCTGCCTGGGAGGGGCATTCTCTCGCCACAGGGTGTTTCTGTCACAAGGACGCGACTCTGAGCCGCTTCCCTGACCAGGTTGGGGCAGAGGAGTCTGTGTTCGGTCTAAACTCGGCCTGGCCATTTCCTACAAGCTCTGTACTCACTGGGTCTCTCAAAGGATCTGAGAGGTCATCTGGTACTATGTCCTCATTTTGCAGTTGAGAAAACAGGCCCAGAGAGGGCAATGACTTGTTCAAGGTCACACAGCTAATGACTGGCTGTGGCAGACCAGAACCCAGGTCTCCTGACTCCTCGGCCAGTTGCTCTTCCTGCTTCCTGCGGGGTCACTGGAGGGCTCTTGGAGAGTGGCAGCAGCGGTGGCCGTCAGGTGACCCAGGCCAGGGCTGAGGCTGCCGTTGGTCCCGGACCCGCTCGCCAGCCTGCCCCTTCCCTCCCTGCTTTGCTCGCCCCCGTGCTGCCTTTGCTTCCACCTCTCACACCTCTGTTGGCGTTGCCCTTTCTCCCCAGGAGGAGATGACCAGTGCCTTGGCCACAATGCGCGTCGACTACGAGCAGATCAAGATAAAAAAGATCGAAGATGCCTCCAACCCTCTGCTTCTGAAGAGGCGGAAGAAAGCTCGGGCCCTGGAAGCTGCGGCCCTCGCCCACTGACCCGCTCAGCAGGTCCTTCTCCGCTGGAGGACAAGCAATAACTCTCGACCTGAATATATTTTTTAAATGAAGAGACAGAACTGTCCACTGCTGCCTCCCTCCTCCTCGGCTGCTCGGAGCCTGGAGCCTCGTGAGAGGCTGACTCTGCCTTTGGTTCTGGCCACCCCAGAGAGGGTGAGGCTGGGGGTCTGGAGGGCATGGAGAGAGGGAGCAAGATGCTCTTGAACCTGTGCTCCTTTTGCAGTTTTATCAGTAATTTGAATTAGGATTTTTATGAAACTTCTTTTATTGTTCTTTTCCCCACTCCTCTTTTCCCCCAAACCCCTTCCTCTTGTTAAAGGGTATTTGTGGAAACTGTTGAAGGGAATCTCCCTGTGTTGTCCCACTGCCCCATTTCCCCACTACAGCCGGAGCTCCTTGCTGGCTGAGGCAACCTGGAGCTCAAGGCCATGAGGGCCGGGGCCAGGATGCCACCCACCTCCTACTGGATCCCTCGGACATCACCAGTGTGCCAGACGGATAGGAGTGAGTGTGATTGTGCGTGTGTGTGTGTGCGCGCGCTCCCACGTGTACCTGTGCCCATGCGTATGTGCCTGGGACTGCACATTTGTAGGGCCAGGGGCAGGCAGGGCTGCATAGGGAGGGGCCCTGTGTGGCTCAGGAACCTCCTCCCTCCTCGGGCCTGCTCTGCCCTGCCCGTGCCGGGCCTGCCACCGTGCCTGGGAGCCTGTCTAGACCCTGAGCCAGGCCCTGCATGGCCAGTCTCTGTTAGCTGGCCCCGGGAGGTGGAGAGGAGTGACTTAAGCACTGGCAGGAAATCAGGAAGACTGGACTGCCCACCGCTAGGACCCTTACTCTCCATTTAGTGCTGGTCCTAGTCCTCTGAGGCGCTGAACTACCGAGTCACCTCTGCTTCCCTTCTGCCATTGTTAAACCATTCTTGTCTCTTTTTCTTACATTTTTAGCCATTTCTCAACAGGCCTCTCAGCTCATGTGGGTGAACCTGGGCACTTTATAAGTGGCACAAAGCTTCTGCATTTTGCCTTGGGCTCTGGGGGCGCTGGCAAGCCACCCCTTTATGGGCCAAGGCAATACCACCCTATGGCCCTCCCACACATTTCCAGTGTGTGGCCTAATGGGTGGGGGGGGTCCTCACACCAAAGATGTCCCCACTCTGTCCCTTCCCCATTAGCAGCTTCAGTCCCACCCCAAACAACTTGGCTTCATGTGGCCAGGCCAGTGAGGGGAGGGTGAGGAGGGTGGGGAGGGCCCTCCCCCAGTATTACTGAGGGGCATTGTGGAGAGAGATCCTCAGTGCCATGGTCCCTTTGGGGCAGGGGCAGGGGTGGGGTGACAGTAGTACTCCAGCGTTCATCTCCCTCAGGGCAGGGTGGTGGAGGGGCACTCAGGTCTTCTCTGTCCTGGGGAAGGGCTCCGAGTGCCTGCAGTGCCTCCCATGTCTGATGGTGTGTCCGGCACTTAGATTGTTGTAAACTGTTGTTTTGTATGAGTGAAACTGTCTTTACTAAACAGATTTAATAGTTGAAATGTTTTCTTTCTCTTCTTTCATGCGGCTCAGCCCCTTGACCCCGCACCTCTCCCCTTCTCACATGTGGAGAGTGGTTCTGTGGGTGGGGAGGGCAGAGGTTGGGTGTCCTGGGAGAGGAGAGGCGAGGAGGGGAGGGGAGGGGAAGGGAGAAGACTGGTCTAGAGGGGACAGGAGGGGAGGAGGGAATGAGAGGGGACAAAGGGAAGGAGAGGGGACAGGAGGGGACAAGAGGAGAGGAGGGCCTCCTGGGCAAGCAGCAGCCAGTGCCTGCCCTGTCGAGGGCCTGGCCAGGCGGGTCTGGTACAGGGACATTAATGCTTCTCTCCTTTGGGACAGGGTGGGAGCTCTAATAAGGGCTGGGGAGCCCGTGCCCTTTTGCCAAATACTGAATCAGGAGCCAAGTTGCTTTCTGGCACATGAGTCTTGCACCTGTTTAGCCACAGCTGGACATTGGCACCCTCAGCCTAGCCAGGCAACTAGGGTGAGTGGTAATTTGGTTCAGATCCTTCGAAAGAGACCAGGGGAGCAGGTTGGTGTAGTTTCTGAAAGTTCCAGCAGGGGGCGATAGGTGCCAGGCAGAAACCAAGACTATACATCGGAGCTGGAAGAGGCCTCCGTTCATATGGCCCGTTCCCCTCAATTAACAGATAAGACGACTGAGGCCCCGAGTGGGATGTTTGAGATCACACGATGACTTGGCTTGTGGCAGAGCCAAAGGGAGAAATTGGTGTACTGACCCCACTGCTCTCCCTCCCACGCAGACGGTAAAATAGTGCATCCTAAATAACTTCACGTTTTCTCACGTGATCCTCAGCGCTGTCGGGGAGAAGGGTGAGGCAGGGTGGTTAACCCTGTTTCATGAGTGAGGAAGCCGATGGAGAGGGTGACGGAACGCGCTGGAGGTCACACAGCTCACTGGTTCCGACCACAACTCAGGATCCCAAGGCCTGGGGAATCTCTGTCCTCAGACCATGCCTCCTGCCTGGGGCGAGGCCTCCTTATCTCAGCCGTTGGCCAGATCGCATCTCTTCATTCAGGCTCGTGGGCACAGGCGGGGTGGTCCCTGCAGAGCTCCTGAAAGGGCCGCTGTGGTTGGGTTCTATCTTAAAACTCTACTCATCACTCTAGAAACCCTTGCTCACATGAACCAGCATAAGGTTTTGCTTTCAGAGGTTGTCTGGGCTTATGAAGGTGTCAGCAGTGACAGGAACCTGGGAAGGGGGAACAGAGTGGTAGAAGGGACTTGAGGGGAGAAGGGTGGGGATGCATTAGTTTTTGTTGTCATAGTACATTTTGTGACTTAAAACAGCACAAATTTAATATCTTACAGTTCTGTAGGCCACAGATCTGATAGGGTCTAACTGGCTAAACTCCAGTCTCAGCAGAGCTGCATTTCTTTCGGGGGCTCTAGGGGCTTCTGTGTTCTTGCCTTTTCCAGCTTTTAGAGGGTTCCTCATTCCTTGGCTGATGGCCCTCTTCCTCCATCCTATTGTCACATCTCTCCAACCTAACCAGGAAGGGGTCTCCACTCCTAAGGACCCATGTGGTTAGATTGGGCCTACCCAGATAATCCAGGAGGTCCTTACCCTGAATCTCACCTGCAGAGTCCCTGTCGCCATGCAAGTCCAGGGATTAGGATGTGGGCATCCGAGGACCGGCGCCCTGCCACAGAGGCGTGTCTCCGCCTTCTCACCCTCTTGCCCACACACAGATGCCGAGTTTTGCTTCCTCTGGGTGAGCTCAGCTCAGGACACTTTTGTGGCCAGTGAGGATGGGCCTGGAGTTGGCATTCAGGGCAGATGGCTGAGGTGAAGGGCGAGGAGGGGCCCGGCTGGATGAATGCGGTCTTGCCTTGCCTTTCCACTCTGCCCCATGCCCTGACCCTGCACATTGGCCTGGCCCCCTGGTGTCCTCCCTGTCTCCTAATCTCTTTGCTGAACTCCCAGGTGGGACGACCATGGAACGTTTGTACCTAAAATCTGACGCTGGCCTAATGGGTGCAGGGGTTACAGGACATGATTCTTGAGCACCCTTAAGTGGTGTGAGATGTAAGGGCTTCTGAGCCCCAATTCTGTGCTGGGTTTTCAGTGCCCTGATCTCTTCAGTCATGAGAGTCCTCCAAGGTAGTCAGTCTAGCCTCCAATTGACAGGTGAGGAAACAGCCTCGGAGAAGAAAATGATTCGCCCAAGGCCTCACAGCTAAGCAGAGGTGAGACTGATTCAGATCTGCTTCCAAGTTTAGGGCTCCTTAAAAAACACTCCAAAGTCCTCTTGCTAAGGACGGGGGTGGGGGAAGGGCAGGATCAGATTGGATTCCCTCCACTGAGTAGACTTGTTTCCTTTTCCACAAAATGGGGCTGATATTGCTATGCCCTATGACCACTGTGAGGAATTCAAGGAGATGATTTAAATGCTTTGTAAGGTGCTGGGTGTCAGGTGGCGTCTCTCACTATAGAGTTCCACCCTCAGGTGGGCTGCCGTGCCCAGAGGACACAGGGAACACCAGGTTTGGAGTGGGGCCAGTGGTCTAGGCTGGCTCTGCTCCCGCCCTTACATTTAGGACCTGCCTCTGAGTCTTGCGGCGAGGAGACAGTTGGGTTGGTAAACAATAACAGTAAATTTGGGGGTTTCCTTTGACTGGGTTATTGGCAGGAAATGCGAAGGGCTGTGGATGATGCGTGGGTAGAGCGGGTAGGTCTGCTGCTCAGGGTGTGAAGGAAATTCAGTTATTCAAGGGAGGCAGGCGAGGTTGGCAAGGCTGGGGAAAGTGGCTGTCCCATCTGCTGGCGGATGTAAACAAATCTGCTGGGCACTCCCCTGTTGGCAGGAGTGGGCATGCATGAGGCTTGGGGGGCAGGCTCTGTCCTCAGCCCTGGAAATCCAGCCCCTCCCTGGCTTTTTCTCTTCAGCCACCCCAGGGGAGCCTGGCTGAGTGTGGGGGTAGCCACTCATTTGGAAGGGATACCAAGCTCCAGCTCGGGGGAGGGGGTTCTTCTGGTGAATATATCTCTCTCTCCTCCCTACTTAGCAAACGAAATCGCTAAACACCCAGGCACCTACTCTACGTGCTATGCTTTGGAGAAAACAAACACGTGTGAGACCCNATTCAATCAATCAGGCCAGTGTGAAGAGACCACTTAGCAAACGAAATCGCTAAACACCCAGGCACCTACTCTACGTGCTATGCTTTGGAGAAAACAAACACGTGTGAGACCCGGTTCCTGCTCGGTTCCTAGTCTGCGAGACACGAAACCCGTGAGCAGCCGGGAGAGGCCTTGTCTGTCTGCCTCTGCGTCCACAGGCTGGATGCACTTTGTGGTCTGAATCGAAACTGCTCCAGACAGGGAGGGGTGTGCCATCCAAGCCCAGGTGGCCCAGGGCAGCCTCCTAGGCCCCTAGAGGTTTTGAGGTGGGAGAGATGAGTGAGGTCAAAAGAAGTGTGGCCCAGCCGGATGTGGCTCAGCGGTTGAGCATCGACCTAGGATCCAAGAGATCACGGTTCGATTCCTGGTCAGGGCACGTGCCTGGGTTGCGGGCTTGATCCCCAGTCGGGGGCATACAGGAGGCAGCCGGTCAATGACAGCTCTCATCATTGATGTTTTTACCTCTCTCTCTTCCTTTCTCTAAAATCAATAAAGATATATTAAAAAAAAAAAAAAAGTGTGCCCTGGGTCCTTATTTTATGGATGAAGCCCTCATGTCCATACCTTTTTAGGGGTAATAACGGTCCTTCCCCCACCCTGGCATGTGAGGATTAAACTCAGCCACCCTGGGACTTTGAGACCCAGGAAGCACTACTGGCATGGGTGCAAGGATAGGGGATAGGGCCAATAGGGCCGCTGTCCCGGGCCCTTCCAGCAGGGGCGGCGCTTTGGCCTTGGCCCCAGCTACTCTTTGAGAAGACTCCCCACTCTCCAGGAGTAAAGATGTCAGGGTCTCATTCAGCTTAACTTGAGGACATACTGTGTGCAACGCCCAGAGCCCCGGACATTGGGGTGACATGGATGAGTAGGAAGTGGGTCTAGCCCTCAGGTGGCTCCGTGTAGAGGAGCAGGTGGACATGAACACGACAGAAGGCAGGGAGAACCAATGTCTCATAGAACAGCAGGTGTTTGTGGTGCGGAAGGAGGAGCTATCCTGGCAGAGATCAGGAGCACTGTCTGAGGAGCCCTTGTGTTGGTGCTCAGGACAGTTCCAATGGTAGGAAATGAGGGAACTAGGCCCAGTGTCTTCCTTCTCTGAGTCTCGGTTCACCCCATCCATCTTCTGCTCTGAACTGCTGTCTGCTCGTCTCTTCAGCTTGACCTTTGACCATCAGTTAACATCTGTGGGAAACCTGATGTAGCCCCTGAGGGTGTCCTCTGTGTTTTCTGCCCATTTTCTTTTCAGCCTCTCCAGCCTGGATTCCCCTTGTTCACCATGTTTGCTTCCCCAAAACCAAACTTTGGGAACAAGGATTTCCCCACCTACTCTTCATTCATTTTTCAAGAAGCCTTACAAAGTTACCCCTTAAACTCAGATTACGTTTGGTTATACATTTTACAAATCATTGTAGACAAGGACATTACATAAAAATGGAGGGGGGGTCCTTCAGAAAAATCAGGGTGAATGGTTGTCAGGGGCTTCTTTGCTTCTGTCCCTGAGTGTCACTAAAAAGCCAGAGCTCTTTCCCCTGTTCACGGTCCTGACACCACTCAGCATCTTACACACAAAGCCTGTGGGAGCTTCCCTGTTACAAATACATATTTTAATGTACCCAAGTTTCCACACTTTTTATCTTTTGCACACCACTATCTCAAACCTGGGGTTACCTTGGAATGTACATCCATCCACTGGAGAGAATAGTTATTACCCCAAAAGGAAGTTCTTGCCCAAAGCCTCTGGCCCAGGAAGCCTTGGCTATCAGGCCTGCATGACTCCAGGTGGGGCTGCAGGGGGCATGGTGCTGCTGAGGCCCTGGAACCTGAGAGGCACAGAACTGCCATGCAAATGTACTTAT